AAAAGCCCCAGCGCCCATCTCCCTCCTGAGGTAGCTTTCCAAGGCAGAGACCATGGGCGGCCAGGCCCTGCGGTATGTAATCTTGGGTTAGCATCGTCCACATCTTGAGTTTGTGTTTCTACTAGATCCCCTGGTCGCTGTCTTCAGAAACTCCAATTGTGGAGTGCTGCCAAGGATCCGGGCTTCTGATGCATCGAGTCAAACCAAGCAGGAGAAACCAGCGTTTCGACAAGGTAATCTGGATCCTTAGCGAGCCATTCTGCTGCGAGAGCTGCAATAAGCCAGTGTAGCTGGGCAAGTCGTCCAGTACATTGCAAGACAGCTCAGCGCGAAATCGAGAGCTGCAAAAATCTACGGTGGGGGTGTTGTCGCGTGTCGTGGTTGTGATTTTGATCGGACAGCATGAATGGATATGAATATGTACGAATTGTAGCTTCTAGCTTCCGCGGCAAGAGTTTATGCCACTGCTCACGCAGCGCATTTCAGATCTTGAACGGCAGGTGCTCTCGTCGTAGAGGTCGAAGTCATCGAGCAGACCCGGTCTGGCTCACACAGCGTGCATATAAACAGTCCTGCTCAATGGACGAACACGACAATCTGGGACTGGGACGACTGGGATGCTGCCAATCAGTGCCATGCATTGCCCACGCAACTCTGCATGGGATGGGCCGCGGATAGCGCCGAGAGGCTTCCTGTCTGGTACCAGTATCGGAGCTCGCTGTGCTTCTTTTGTCACCAAATCGTCGACATTCTCAAGAATGTCGCCCTGGATAGCCGAGGAGAGCTGCGATGGCCACTGCCAGACAAGCCTGGACGGAGGTACTTGGGCTGGAGCTGGTCGAGGCGCAGGGGAGCGTGGGGGATGCTCTGACTGGGATGGTTCGGCTGCCAAGACAAAAAATGGGGTCGACGCAAGTGAACCCTTGCTGCATGATTTGCTAGCCATGGCCCCTGTATCAGGGGAGCACATTCCACTGAGGTGAGGGAGTCCTTTGGAGGCCATGCAACCCTAGCCGCCGACTCGAGGCTCCACGGACGGAGTCCTCCTAAACCCTTCTCGCCATTCTCCTTGCAACCGCCGATGCTCTTCACGGACCTGTGCTGCCTAAAGCCACTCATCGTCCATGCTCCACGTGCCGATGTCGAGCTGCCATCCGCATATCTCGTATCTGTTCCTGGCGGCTAGAGTGGCTTGTCTCCCTGCATAAACTTTTGGATAGACAGCTGGACAGCAGGGCTGGGGACGAAAAGCCCAGAGGCAACACGAGAGAGGAAAGACGGCAAGTGTCTGTTGCGCAGAGCAAATCCTGTCGCCAACAAGTCAGAGATGGGAGAGACCTGCGAGAACCCGTTTGGTTACTGCAAACCTCTGCAGGTGCAATCGAGTTGCAGGGGCTTCGGGTGCTGCCGCTGCTAGCTTCTGCAGCGCGCATGTCAGGCCTCGCTGTTTGCAGAGCTCTGAGAGTTTCCGTTTCTGAGAAAGCCAGGCGGTCCTCGCGGCCGTTGGTTGCTCGTGCTGCGCTGGTGGAGCAACTCACCCAGGCTGGAGCTCCGCTGTCCACTGGCGCAACGCTTGCAAGTCCATGATGCAATCCTCACCCCATGCGTGACAGCAGAGTCCGCAGCAGACTAAATTGCAAGCGCTTCGCCCGGCGCCGCGAGGGCCGGGCAGGTGAAGTCTCGGCAGGAGTTGAGCCGGAGAAGGAAAAGAGCAAGGGGAGGGTCGGAGGGGGTTCTGCCGAAGCTGCAGGCATCCGAGGCTCTGGAGATGCTCCGTGGCAAATGGGATGCCATCGAGCTTGGCGAGGCGAGGCGAGGAGTTTTCACCGCCAAAGAATGCCCGAAGCCTGAGAGGCAGAGCGCCTTCAGCCGCTCGCAGAGGAGGAGGCGGGGGCGCGTGCGCGCGCGCGGCGATGCCTCGGCCAGCGCACGCCGGCGCCCCCCTTTTTGACTGCAGGTCGCCCTTCGAGAAGGTCTGCGGACCTTGGAGTTTGGGGATCCGGCGGAGATCCAAGCAATACCGCAGACTCCAAGCAGCAACCTTAGATACCTGCTGTTCTGCGTCGTGGATTTGGCATGTGCGGCTATGTCTGTAGTATTTCATGATCTGCTCAATTTACTCGCAGATGAGGTGCAGATCCTGTTGTGGCTGGGTACTATCGCGTTGCACGTGCCCTGCTTGAGCTGGAGGTGGCGCAGAAGGAGTGGGAGGCAATGCGCAACCACGAGTCCAAATTTGTTGGGTGCTGTTTTGCGTTTCGAGGTCCGCACGGCCCAGGCTGCTGGATTTGATCAGCCAAGCTCTCCAGAAGTGGGGGCCTTCGCCAGCAGGCGCAGAAAGGATTGACAGTCGCATGCGCTTCGTGGGGAAGTCGGAAGGCCTGCCTGCATGCACGAGCCTCCACGAAGCTCCGGTAAACCGTGCATGAACCTCGTTCTTCGGAACCAGATTCGGTCGGTACAGGAGTGGTGAGAGCATGCACCGACCGGGAGGCTGCTGGGAATCGCACTCCTTCGTATTCGGCTGTTCCAGCACTCTGAGGCTGGTGCGCTTTTCTCGCAAACTCTAACAAGCCGCATTGATGGAGGCATACGATCTGCTGCAGCGTGCGCTTCCCACCATGATGGCCACGCAGCAGTTCGTGGGTTCGGAGGGCGCTGCAGCTAAGCATCTAGCCAAGTTTAGCCACATGTCCCAGCTCGTCACCCTCTGTACGCGGGATCCTTCACGGAAGGCATTGGCTGCAGAACCTCTGCCGCAGCACTGTGGCCTGATTGCAGGAAGCATGTGTCATTCATTGATTAGCAGCTCGAAGCAGCTTAGTAGCATTCCACTCGTGCCGTCCGGGGTGGGGCGGCGGTGCCAGGCCATGAGCCAGATGCTCCGAGAGCCAGGTCACATGCAAGGCTTCCAGCTCCCCTAAACCCTAAACCCTAGGGTCCGGGCTTTTGACCTGACTAAGCCCTAGGCCTGACGGTTCCATGAGTTGCTCAGGGAGCAAAAGTGATCGCCAGGGGCTGACTTAAGACTCTTTAGCACAGTGAAGACAGTCTCTTGGTCCACTGTTCGCTCATGTGCATTCAGGCATGTTAGGTTAAATTTCCATTCTGAGCTGGGGCTTTACTTCTTTCCAGCGACTTTGCAACCCTCGGCATCTTGATTGTACTCGTTTCAAGTGCCAGGCGTTGATATCTCGAACAGCGAGCATTTGGAGTGCTTGCAGGCAAGCCTGCGCAGTGTTTGCACCTCCGGAATCACATGCTCGATAGTCGTGTGTGGACAGCGGGCCCTGGGTGGGTCAGGTTGCGTCTCTCTTATTTCGGTACACTCACGAAGAGACCCGCAGATACTACCTTTGCGCACCCTGCGGTTTTGAATTCGGTCTTGAGCATTGTTTCGCAATTTGGGCAGGCGCTCCGTGAGGAGCTTCGGACCTGTGGATATGCTGCAAAGGACATACTTGGCATGACTCAGGCCGGGAAGAACCTTCCTCCGTCCGAATGCGCCATGCTAGGACACTAACTTGAATGATATGATGTGACATGTCATGGATTCGAGAATGCCACAATTCTGAAGCTTGCTAGCTACAGAGCACACCGTGTGGGAACAGAACCTTCGTGTTCATGTCACTCCGCTACGTCACTCTCCCCTCCTGCCACCATGGCTCATAAGCCTGTGTCTTGCATGCAGCTTTGTGGGCTAGCAGGGTTCACTCATTTGGCTCCCACCTCATTCCGAAGGTCCCGACCCTCGAGATGTTCGCCGACGACGACCTGTGCGGGCAAGCAGCTGATGCCTTGCTGGCCAGTGCACCGCACGAACAGAAGGGACTTGCAGAGCTTGTACGGCCACTTGGCTGTTCCTGCCATACGTACTCGGTCCTTCAGCCAGAACGATGAACTATGTAGTTGAGACTGGGTCGGACATGGAAATTTGATGAAGCTTTTCTAGCGATCTTTGCCACCCGGCCGTCTGCAGACTTGCCGCAGTTGCTGCACTGTACATCCCGACGAGTCCGTGCCTGAGGTTCTTCCTTTTGAGCAGGCCTGTGGCGCTCAAGCAGCTGACGGAGCTGATGGGCTCCTCCTGTATGGAGCTGCCTGGCCTGCCTAGCTGTCGGACCTGGGCAGCATGAGCCTAGCCCGGGCACTAGTGCAGCTGTAGCTTGCAACCAAGACCCCTTTGCAATGATGTACTGTCTGGCACCTTTCTATAAGAACCCTCAGGGGGAGGGGGCAGGGGCCTTAATACTTGCAATAAGGACAAAATCAGGCCTCTTTAAGGGAGTATAGCCTCCCTAAGGGTCCCTATGGGTTTTGTAAGTTATGCAAGCAAATTATGCAAGCAGATAGTTTTTGTCAAATTGAATCTGATAGATTTGGCACTTCGCAGGAGTTTCTTCTGCTTGCATCATCTTGCGTCTACGTACAATAAGCTTCATCTGTAAGCAGAGGCAGCAGGCAATAAATCCTTTGCTTATTTCTATACCGTCACCGGCACCGAAAGCTCTACAATTTTGGCACGATGTTCCTCTCTTCTCCAGCATCCGAGCCTGCCCAATCTTTGCCGTTGATTGTGTCAGGTTCCTTCTAGAGAAGCAAGCCGTCACTGTGATCCGTGGCCCCTCCTGTGCCTTGGTCAAGGCGTGGATTAGCCTTGTCTGTAGTGGACTGCTGGATGACTTCGAAACCATACATGTAACACTGATCTGCACCTTGCCCGGAATTCTGGGGAGGCAGACGACGCTCTGAAGGCTCTCGAGAATGCCTCAGATGATTTCTATTGCTTTGCGAACATCAAGATTTGGCCGGTGGAGGTTGCGGCGATGCTGTTTGTTGTAGACATGTAGCATGCTATGACGCTGCATAGGACCTTCTCATTGCCACGGATCGGCAAACCTGGCCGTCTCAGGCAGGGAAGCTGCTTCGAAATCAGCAGGGCTGGCACAAGTGTCGGAAGCAGCTTGCAGATGCAGGACCTACCAAGATAGAATCCAGACAGCACCTTCGCGCAGCGCATGTCATGTTTGCCGGTTCAGGGATTTGAGCCAGTGATGTACCTTTCGGACGACTCCTGGGGACTCATCTATGGAGCGCCACGGGAAGAAGTGGAGTCAGTGCCGCCCAGCCTGCAGTACGAAATGAGAACCTGATAAGAGGATCATTTCAAGCTGAAGCCTCGTGGAAATTCAGTTAGGCTATGGCGGTGACCATTGACAACTTAGAGGGTGTGCTTGATTCTAACAGCTGACGAATAAATCTCAGCACAGACACAGATACAAGAAATTAGGCCTTTCAGCGAGTTATGTATTTCCTTTGTAGAGCAGCTATGAGTACTTATTCCGAGGGCTTTTGAATTGACATGCCAAATTCATGGGGGGGGGGGGGCGCTTAGCTTTTTTACCCCGATCCCTGAAGCAAATTCTACAAGGAACCCCTTGCGGCTTTTGGGCTATGGCACCTAGGTAGGGTGTAAATATTGTGATGAGACATTTTCCGAAGATAGATGCCTATCATTGGGGGGTTGGGTCGTGCCATATGCCGAAAAATGGCGAGGTCGTCCCTAGCTAATTAATTCCAGGCTGGACCTTTGCACTGGCAGCGGCGTCCAAGGGCTAGTAGCCCTGCAGAATTACGCCAAAACCGCAACCTTCGTTGACTTGAATCCTCGCGCTCTGGACTTTGTGCGCAGCTCGCCTTGTACAGAAACGACAGACCATCTGTGTCGACAGCAAAGCGTGACGGCCTTCATCTTCAGGCTTCAACGTCGCTTTGAATGGCCTTTCGCAGAAAGTTTCTGGAATCTACGAAGGCAATCTGTACCAGGCGCTGCCTCCAGAATCTGGGCCCTTTGACGACACTGGGTTACAGCAATAGCACAGTTTTGCCGTGACTGTGTTGCCTATGAGAGCGAGGAGGCGATAGCTAGGCCCTTTGACAGAAGCATGAGCTAAGCGTTTTCAGTAAGCTGGCGCACATCCCTCAAGAGGAATTTCAGCTAGCAGTTCTCAGGCCTCAGGAAAAGCCGTTGTGCTTTCTTGAGGCCATCTTGGCCAATCCGCCCTTCCTTCCGAACCCTCGCGGCATCGGCTCGCAGTGTTCGGCGAAATTTGGCGACGGAGGCTACCCAAGGGTCTGGGTCCTACGGGGTCCTACCGGGTAGTGTGTCGTTTTGAGAGCGCCTTAAGGCTCCTTGATTCGTGATATAAGAGGGTCAGTTCAACATGGCACGCCAAAGCATGCAATCCTGTTTCTGAAAGAATTTCTCAAACTGTTCCCCGCGAATGGCCTAAACGGCGTAATATGGAGTCTAGCTTCCGTGGCAGAGCCTTGCGCGTTCGAAAAAGCTTCCGTGGCAGCTATGAGCTACGACATGGTTCTGATTAGCGTGCAGGTGATTTTGGCGAAGACATCTTGGAGGCCCTTGAATTGAGCAAGAAGGTGCCGTGGTACCAGGTAGGTTGATGTTGAGTGGATCGAGATGTCAGGCAATTATGCAAGGCGTGGCAGACCACCTCAAGCCTGCTGGGCACCTGAGCGCTGTCACCTACGCACCCAACACCCCAGAGATGGCAGAGAGGAGCTGGATGTCGTTGCCTTCAGATTCGGCTGGGGGGTGGGGAAGTCTCTTTGAGACAGGATCGCGCGATACCTGAAGAGTCCTGACGAGATGTCGCCGTGCATCACGGTCTTCAGCAGCAAGCTGAAGCCAGCCAAGGCGAGAGTCTTGGGATGGTGTAGCCATGTGTAGCCAGTGTATCTTACGGAGCCTTTATGTGTTCTACAAATAGTTTTTTGCCGGATGCAGACGAGTCATGCTCTTCTGCTCTTCTCTTGTGCCAGGACTTCAAGCCTGTGTCCAGCGCGGTTGAAGCCGTCCGATATCAGGTGCGCATGCTGCTTGTTGCGAACATTGCTGCCCCCACAAACACTGACAGTGTCCAGAGCGCGAGAAAGGAAAAATGTAATCAGAGCCGCAGCTTTTACAGCCTTCCGAATCTGCTGTTTCCACTACATACTTGTCTGAGTTCGGGAACTGTCAGGAGGCACTGGACGAGGTTGGCATCAAGACAATGGCCGAGGCCATCACGCTGGTGAGCTTCGAAGAGACGGCTGTGCAGACGCGCCTCGGCCACGTTCTGCCGACGACAGTCCTTCCTTTCCTTGAGTGTGACACTGAACGTAAGAAGGCATTTCGTCCTCAAGGAGCATCTTTTCCAAGACGAGGGCTACTTGAGAAGTCTCTGGAAGCAGCACTTGGATGGCTGTTCGAAGACGTGAAGAGCGAGCAGAAAAGTCGGTGCCCCAAATGCGTGTCCCTCTGTGTAGCCTCAGTGAACTCGGGTCTGGCCAACTCCCTGGAGCCGTTTTTGCCCCTTGTGAGTTTCCATGTGTGTCATCGCCTGAGCTGCAGCCAGACCTCACACAGTACCTTGACCTAGCACCAGTCCTTCAGTAGGGCTCTCTTCATGGTGCTTGTCTCAGAAGCTGAGAAGCAACTTATGCGGAGAACAGAAGATCTCGCCATGCGCTTCCGTGCTCGATCAAAGCGATGACATCAGAAGCATCGGACATCTTGCCTTTGCATCTCTTCATCGAGAGGGGGCGGAACAGCAGCCATCACTATGGCAGCCGGCTCGGAAGGCTCGGAAGGCCGAAGACCTCAGCCTTGCAAGGTCCTTAGAGCCACTGCCTTTCGCTCCCGAGGGACATCCAGCTCAGCCAGATGGCGGGCAGCCATGTGCCCGACAACGTCGAGCTGGGCAGTAACCTAATGCCGCCCAGGGACAACGAGGCAGCAAGCACGCTTGATGTGCTTTGGCTTTGTTGGGCAGTGGGGCTTCCGGCAGCCTCGAAGGCCTCGAACTGGCAATATCTGGCAATTTTAAGGTCATCTCCTCCTTCAGCAGGGCGGAACCGGCGGCTGATGATGCTGGTCATATGGCTACCTTGACTCTCAGCGGCTGTTCGCTTTGTACTGGCTTCCGATGTTAGATTCGGTTCTTTCCGTGCTCAGGACGCCAAGCTGCTTCAGCTTGGTCCTGATGTGTGCGGTTCATAATGCTCCCTGCATGGATTCGCCATACTGGGTTCTGTCTCGGCGAGCAGGCAATGAGCATTCTAGACTCTGCACGTTCTCAAAACCTGACGAGGTGAACCTGTGGGTGCCGCTGATCTTGGTCATCCCGGTCTCCATCGCGCAGACTAGTGTTAGTTCCTCAGCATCGCGTGCATCAATGCAGGTTCAGACGAACCACTCCTGTGCTGACTCAGGTGCTTTACATCGTCACTTTTAAATCACCGGAGTATCTGTTCGGGTTCCTTGGCGCGACGAGTGGCGTGAAATCAGTTTGATCACATTGCTTTCTGCTGAGGTCAGGGCGATGGCTGCTGCCGGTCTCCGCATCCAAGTCTCTGAACGCTATGAAAGCCTTTGCCTCCATCTTGATGCTGGGTCAGATTGCCGAGGAGTTCTATGAAATAGGCTGCTCGCTTGAAGTTTATGTGATGGCTCCTGCTCCTACCCGGCATTCCGTTGATGACTGCATGGGAAGCTTGACGATTTTTTTTGGCGTCCATTCGTTCTCGGACTCTACACGCAACACCTGGCCGTGAATACAGTAGCGCAGGGTACCCCGTCTTTGCTGCACCATCAGCACGTCAACCAGCTGTTCGGAAGTAGCTGCCGGACAGTCTCAACAACTCCACGTTGTTGCAATGTTTCGAGAGCCTAAGGCCTAGATGGGCTTAGTATCTTGTCAACAGAGCACTTGTTCCTGGGCGTTTGATTTGTCAGGTGAATCGGCAAGTGTTCTTCGCCGGAGTCGGCTGGAAAAGAATTGGCGTTGGTACACGTGCTGGCTGGTGGTCGCGATGCAGTGTCACGGCTGACCAAGAGCGAGAAGGAAAGATTTTCGTTTTTTGCAGAGCATACAAGATCTATCAAGATCTCAAGATACTGCTCAGGTACCTTCTTGCCTTGATGGTGCTTGTGGCAGCTGACCACCTGATCCTGAGCAGGGAGAGGCCCATCGAGCCCTTGTGGATCACGTACTACGTTTTCATGACACTCAACTTCGACAACATGCTGCCCGGCTTTTTTGGCCAGAATCATACCGAATGACATATCGGGGGGACATCTGCATTCGCATCCTCGATAGAATTTGGATGTTGGGCTGCAGGCTGGTTCGCTTCATCAGCTACGTGCGTACGATGGAGCGAGCACCAGCGTGGAAAGTTGACGTGTATGAGCCCACGTCCCCGACCTCGGCGGATCATGTGCGAAGGTGGCAGCACGCTGGCTTTAAACGACATGCCGAATTCCAGCTGATGAACTCCAGGTCTGACCACATGCAGCGCCTATTTCTGGTCTGGATACCAGTTGCAGTCGCTATTTCGCTGAACATCAGTTCCAGGGCATCTCGGCTGCAAAGCGCCTGACATTGGAGGCACTGCGGTGCTGCTCATGCTTACATGGCATCCTCGCACGGCTTTGTAGGTGTTCAACATCTTACCCATCACTCTTTTGCGCTACGGCTCGGTGACGAACGATCGTCCTGTTGCCACTCAATGGCATACTGATCATCGTTGACACTGCAGAAGCATCTGAAAGCTGTACGCAGCAATCATCAGCGTCTTTTTGCATCCGCAGCTTGAGGTGATGATGACGCCCAGCGTTGGGCTCCCTCACAGCTGCTGCCCTGCAGAGGCTGTCTGGAATGGTACCTTGAGTGAGGAATCGATCAAATTCAGCAGCTGGGCCAGCAGCCAGTGCCAACATAGCTGGCTGCGAAGCGCTATGTATTGTGGGTTCTTCGGTACCATTCGGATTCAACTTTGGTTTGCAAGCAATTAATCTCGACACTCAGAAGATTTGAAACGAGTATTTCTCTCCATCGGATATCGAGAAGCTCTGAGGCATTCCATGTCTGTCCAGGGATGCGCCGGAAGATCTCGTCGCCGCACCAGTCGTGTCTTCGACTCAGCCGAATACGTGTTCTGTGCCTTAGCAGGAGATCGATGCGTGCCGAAGGACTGCAAAGAGCATCTGTAGTTGCAGCTTGTGCACTGTGAGGTATTGGGTGGCCTGGCCTCGCCGAAGGGGTACTCCCACCAGTCTGCAGGTTCGAGAAGGTCGTGGAGCAGACGGATCGCGAGGGATAGTGTCAGGACGGGAGTTCTCCTCTCTTCTTCCAACTCTAACGTGCATGCTTCGACGAAACCGACTTGCGCCTAGCAATGAGCCTGAAAGGGCGCGCAACAGCGACTCCCCTGCAGCTCGAGTTTTGGCTGCAGCGGCATGGCTATGGGGCCCCTGGGATGTCAATGTGGGCCTTCACCTAGCCCTCCTCGACATCTGCACATGACTGCTGTCATACTCGATCCGCCAAGAAACACACTTGTTTAGCTTGAGAATGCTCTAGACGAAGCATCAGGTGAGTCAGGCAGCGGACATCTTCAACGCATTGACGGACACCAACAAGAGGATTGGGATGCTTGGTGGATGTTTGAAACGTCTGACTTGGATGTGTGCTGAAAGAGACCAGGAATCTGTCACGAATGCTGTTGGAATGTTAGAATTGTTAGAACGCCAGCTAGTCCAGACAGCAAGGGTGCCACGGGAATATGCACGAGGTGAAGGAAAAGGTGGGGAGAACAATGGATAGTCTGACCAAGGATGTATCACTTTGCATTCCCCTATGTGGCCGAGTTCTCCGTATCCAAATGGCCATGGAAGGAGAATGCAGCGATTTATGCAGTCGCCGTGAACATGGCCACAGGCATGGGATGGTATGGGTTTTTAGACAAAGCCTGGCATGGTCTTGAACTCTTCAAGCGATCGGTGGAGTTGTGGAGTTAGCAGTGCCCTGTCCGAGGCGCTTTGAGCCCAGAGCCCGTGTCCTCTGACGTGCTCCTTCGCTTTGATGGGAAGTGCGGCCCACATTGCATGCGCTGCAGTCACCAGGGCATCTGTCGGCACTGCAAGGCTTCGGGGCTTCGGGTGCAGGAATGTAGGGGCCTTAATAATTTGCCCGGGGTTTTAGGGCCCATTCTACTATGGTCATAACAAGGAACCCCCCAAAATAGTATAGGTAAATATTTAGGCACCGATATTAGAGTCTCATGATTATAACTATAGTATAATATACCCCAAAACCCTAATTCTAACTATTAGGGCCCCTATTTTAGGGAAGTCCAGAGCATTTACCCTAAACCCTCAACCCCAAACCCCTAAACCCCCAAACCCCTAAACCCCTAAACCCCTAAACCCCAAACCCCTAAACCCTAAACCCTAAATCCCTATGAAGGCCGGCTTCAGGCCCGACGGCCCCACATGCGTCCCGTGTGGACAAGGCGCCTCGTACAAAGAGGGCTGCTGGGTTTAGGGGTTTAGGGTTTAAGGGTTCAGGGTTTTGAGGGTTTAGGGGTTGAGGGTTTAGGGTTTAGGGTTTTTAGTTTGGGCAGGCTGCCAGAAATGTGATGCGCATCCGGTTTCTTCCGAGTGCAGTGAGTGCCAGGCAGCGGGGCAGCACCTGTGCACATGACGGTTCATGTCGTGTAGGGCAGTCTAAACATGTCTAAACACTAAAGCGAATCCAAGGCCGGCTACGGCCTGACGAGAATGGGACTGATGCATTGCCTGCCATGTGCCGCAAGGGATTGTGCAAACTGCAATGAAGAAGATGACTCCCAAGCTCATGAGGCCGGGATGGTGTAGCTGTACCCTCTGCACTAAAAATGCATTGCATAACATCGAACTCCAGGGCAAACACGAGAGTCGCCACGTTGAAACATCAATGTGGCGACTCCAAGATCCAAGATTTCCCTCACTTCCCACCGGTCTTTTGCGGAGAGTCTTGGAGCATGGATGTTGGAATTTGTGAAATTTGACAGTCATTGTCTTCAATACAGTATTCAGTGTGCACTATTGTGGGCTTCCATTCTCACCGCATTGAAACACACTGAAGCACACTGAATGTGAATGTGACGGCTCGCTGAATCCAAGATTCTTCTCAAGAGTCGCCGGGCAATCTTGGATCTTGGATCCACCACATTGACATTTCGAAACGACCCTGTGCCGTGTTCTTCCTGTTACTTCCTCAACATGTGTCGTCGCCTGTCCTGTGCGTTTCGTAATTGTCATGCGGCCGTCTGCAGTTGCGCGGTTGGTATTTGCATGGCAGAGCAGCAAAGCTAGTATATAGTATTTCCCGAGAGCTCTCCCGTTGTGGGATCGTACATTTATTGGCGCCGGCATTTTTGATATTGCTCGAGTCGTACTTATATTACTTGCCCAGAAGACGAATTTTGATAATTGTCAGTCTTGTTAAAGGCTCGAATCGCCTCCAGTAGCCGCGGAATATCAGAGCCCCGGCGCACGAAGTGTGCGTTACTTTTCTCCGCGCCCAACCGGCAACTCTCCCGCGTGGCACCGAAGGCTTCGTCAGAGGAGAGCCCGCGCCAGAGGCCAAGTACGGCTTGGCTTGCTGCCCGCTGGCTTGGCACCACGCTACGCACAGGACCTTCCGAGCTTCCGAGCCCGACCTTTGCGCATGGGAAAGGCGGGCAGGCACACTTATCAAGGTGCGCAGGAATGGCAAGACAATGCGTGGTCCTCATCACCCTCCTGGTCAGAGTGGCCGGGTGCATGGTCGAAGAAAGGCACCCGCCAACCAGATGGCAGGGGCAAGGGAAAAGGGAAAACCAAGTCTCCCCCCTATACGGCAACTGGGGCGCGAGAGCAGAACAGATTGCGGTGATCGAGGAGCGCAGGTTTCAACAGGACCCGGAGCAGCAGTCTTTGGCTGCCATCGTGCAGACAGTTCTTCGCCCCTTCACCCAGGTGAAAGGCCGCCGTCCCAAGCAAGAGCCCCAACACACCTTGCGCCCCTTTGCAGCGCCGCTCCGTACGGACAAGCAGCCCCGCCATGTGGACGCCGATCGGCATTTGGTGCAGAGGGCAAGGATGGACTCTTGAACGACGATCTCTGACTTTGCCGTTTATGCCAAGGAATCATGGGGCCAGCACAAACTCTCGCTTGATGAGGAGGAGGAGAATCAAGTTGGGGGCGTCCTTCCATTCATGTCTCTTGGACTTGGGCTGTATGCTGCCATCTATCGTCGACCACTTCCGTAGTGGCCCCAGGCTTAAGTCACTCGCACCCAGTTCCTTTGAGATGGGTTATCGGTTAAACTATATCTCGGTGCCCCAGTCTTGGAGCCAGCTGGCGATGAGTTCTCAGGTCGGGGAAGGCTATGAGGCCCTCCAAGCCCCGTGTGTTTGCATGCTTTGTTCGGCAAGGCTATGCCGGCCAGTGCTTATGCCCCTTCTACCCGCAAAGCTCCCAGGCCCACTCTTGCGACTGGACCCCAGGCCGCAATGCACAGGCATGAGTTTCTCTCTGAGCTCGGGCGCTATACTCCGGTCCCGTGGGAGGTTGATGTCGACCCACACTGTGAGTCTCTTTGCCAGCCCACTGTCCAGGCTGCGATTGCAATTTGTCCGTCGAGGGCCCAAGTGCCCAAGCAGCCTTACCTCCAACCGGACACTCGCCGTTTGGTCCAGCGCCGTGCCGCCATCCACAGATACCTGCCAGCCCAGCATGCAGAGCTTGCCCACTGCCAGTTTCTTCTAGGCTTTGCTGCTTTCTTCTTGCGCTCGCGTGCTTCGACCTTCGCGCATGTGGCTAGAGCCGCAGTCTCACGGTAGTTTCAGGACATCGATGTTAGCCTTGCCAGAGCCCTTGACATGCATCACTGGCTGGCCATTGCTGTACGTGCTGCCGTTCGCAGTGACAGAAATGCGTACTTGCAGGGCCTTGCAAACAATGTTGCCTGTGCGGATCTCCGTTATCCCTTGCGGTTATATGCCATTGTAAGTTGCGTGCGGCGGGCCTTTCCCGAGGCCAAGTCATCACGCCGTTCAGGTTTCCAGGATCCAGCCGAAAGATGCCGAAAGGTCTGCTCGTTGGGTCGAGCACTTTGGCGCCCAGGAGGCAGGCCATGTCCTTGCCCGGAGGATTACCCAGCCACGCTGCAGGGATCGGTCTTTTGATCCAGCTCATCACGGCATCCAGTTTGGCAAGCAGTCCCCACCCTTCTTGACATTGAGCAGCAAATAGTCGGTCTTTTTGCGTCAAGCAGCCTGACCAGACTCGATCATTGCAGAAGCGCTGCGAGTTGGCGTCAGTGCGCAGGTTCTGTTCCCCGTTTACTTGACAGTCTCCTTGACCGTCAGAGAGCCCACTGCCCGGAGAGGGGGACACTTGTTCTGCCTAGCCAAAAGGGCTTCGCGCTGCTGGAGTGCGAGGCATCCCGGTCAATGTGGTCAATTCTTGTGGCCCGCCTACCCGGCAAGATCCTGCGCTGGGTGTGGCGGAACAAGCTCTAAACATCTCGGTGAGGTCAAGGGCGACCTGCAGGCCGGACAGCTGCCAGGGACGGGACGGGAGCGGACAGCATCGCGTTAGCACTTAAGACGTACCAAAGTTGGGCGAAGGGTCGTAACTTCAAGTTCGCTTTTTTGACAAGGTGGTCAGGCAAGCCCTTGTGCACACCGAGCCCGATGGCTGACGACTATGCTCACGCCCAAGTTTCGGAGCAGCCGGCTGAGCTCTACCACAAGCTCAGCCGCGCCGCTGTTGTTCTGTCAGAACATGCCACGGCTGCGAGCATGCAGCTCACTGACGCGCCAGATCAAACCGCGGTCCTGCTGACTGTCGAGTGCCCTTTCCCTCCAGAGTATGGTGTCGTCCATGACGGCATGCAGGGCTTCATCCGGCGCAACGCCTTGCTTCAGCAGGAACATTTCCTCCCGATTGTTTCCTCTTACAAGCATGTAGTTGGCATCCTTACAGCAAATGGCACGGCTGGGCCGGACAACCAGTCCGTTTTGCGCAGGCGCAGGGCACCTTGCGTCCTCTGTATATGGTCGTTTGTTCTCCACCCAGGGCATACTGTTGACCATTCAGGCGAACGCTGCTCCGCACGCTGGTGATCTCGCGTTTTGTACTTTCAGGAGCCTCGGCCTTGCCTCAAAGGCACTCGACCCCCCGCAATGGTGTCAGATGTATGTCCTCCTTTGGAGAGGTCTCTGCAGGTGGCCCAAGCGCGACAAGGCCCCCCATAGCTACGAGGCGCTTCAGGTCGCGCAAGCCCCTAGTCCTCTCCTGGCTTTTGCCCAAACGAGATGCACACTGTTGCGAAGAATCATTCAGCGCGGTCTAGGCGCGCTTCTTCACTTGCTGCACGTCTACTGTCGGCTGGACGGCCACAAGCCGTGGCTGGGCCTCTTCCATGCCGACATGCAGGCTGTCGCCATATACTCTGATGCTGCATCTCTTTTGCTGCAGATGCCAGATCCAGTCTCAACACTGCCTTATAAGGTCCAGGGAGACCCAGGCTGGTGGCAGTTTCAAACACGTAAGGCCATCAAGAGCTTTCTCATGAGGCTCAGCCAGTGGAAACCACGCCAGACTCACTGCATACGCAGCCGAGCGCCCACGGACCTCCCCTTTCCTTGCCGCTGGTGCCCCCAGCCTGTAGGCCACGCAAGCATTAAGCGTCAAGCATTTCACGAGGCGCGAAGGCACGGACTCTTATGCCCAGCTCGTCATTTCACTCCCACATAGGAGTGTCAAGCCTGCCTGAGAAGGTTTTACTCTGTCGAGCACTGTCAGTATCATGTCAGGCGTTCCAAACTATGTCTGGATGGATTTTCCCAAAATCCGCCTGGTAGAGCAGTCAGATGCGCAGAAGCGGAAGGCCCTGCGCAGGGGTAAGTGGCAAGCCTTTGAGGCCGTTTAGCTTGCATGTCAGGCCTACAGCCTGAGGGCGCCGGTGCACTCAGATGTGTGCAGAGGATTGGCCGAAACCGAGATTACCCCCTCCCTCCTCAGCAAGGTTTACCGTCCTTCGCCGGCTACCCTTGAGACTCGATTTGGGAGTACGTCGAATGCAAGTCCACAGAGGGACCGCGGCAATCCGCTGTTAGCTTTTGGCTACCATCGCCCAGTCTTCATGAACCGCAGGCGCCATGTTTGTCTCACCGGTCACCTTGTGATTTTCGGGACGCGCTCCCGATGAGCTAAGACGTCCGATAGCAAGCAAGCAATCCTGTTAAGAAAATCGGCATTGCTGCGCTCTGAATACGGCATACGGAAAGCACGAGTAGCAGCAAGATCACGAGCAATAGTAGTGAGTGATTGATCTTACTCGAAAATCCCACTGTCAACAACGCGAGCATCAACATGATGGGTGTTGCCACGTGCTAATCGCAGAATAGGTAACCCCGTCGAGTGTGAGCTTCAAAAGTATAGCATTAGTCAATATACTACGTTTACATAAGTTCTCGGAGAGCAGTATCGTCATCAGTACCACAACCACCAATGTTACTCACATTAATAGGACTGGAGTTTAACTACATGTCCATGGCCAGGAGAATAGCGACCTGCTAAACAATGACCATATTACTACTCATCATGTTGTGACTGCCTGCCAGTATTATCATTGACATCGATCGTTTGACAGAACATCTCTATACACGACATATGTATGTCTATCATTCATGATTCATGTCATTCGGCTGGAAATTATGACCCGGTGCTGCTTGCCTGTTAGATGTAACAAACGTGCTGCTGGACTTACAACAACATTTCGAAAGACACGGCGCTTACTGCTATTCCTAATCCTGTCGCTCGTACCGTAGTGTCCTAGGCAACTTTTCGTGGGTTCATTGATGAAGCCTTGTATGATGATGCAGCTTCGATGTTGTGGCTATGGAACGGAGTCGCAAGTTGTGAAGCAAGACTTACTTCGCTTGTTTTCCATATTCAGGGGTGTGTGTTGAATAGTTCGATGGCTCGCATGATGCTGATGTGTGTCGCCATGATCGGTTCGCGGGTGTTCGGACGAGAGACCCCACGTTGCGGTCGCCGCAAAATGTGTGCGACTGCTTGGGTTGTTCAGTGAGTGTTCGAGCGGTATCGATCGATAGGGACTGTGACATACACGGATATATGTATATATATGTACAATATATATATATATATACATATGTATATGTAAATATTATGTATGTATACTGTCTACACATACATACCTTCACAACACACACCCACACACACACACACTATGTATAGATACAGAGGTATGTACATCGGTCTTTAGCTTTGCTCTGCTTTCCAGCGCCAGGCAACCGCTCGAGAATTGCCGTGCTCTCGCCTTACACTGCCCCTGTCAAACTCCGGGCCTCGGCAAGAGACCTCCACGTTTTCTCGAGGTCGCTCCTGTTTGGAGGGACATGGCTTGGCGACTGATGGATCGTGTTTTCCGTGCAAGCAGAAAAACTGAGTCTCGGCTTCGATGTCTGACTTGGTTCCGGAAGGTTCGGCTTTGATCAGCAGCCATGATGGAAGCACCCGAACAGCTGCAGCCGATGGTATGCGCAGAATCAGGCAGAACCTGCAGAGCCCTGTGAGCTCAAGCGACAGTGCATTGAGGCAAGCTCTGTGATGAAAACCGATGCAAGCAATGCCAGAGTGGCTTCGCAGTTGTGGAGGACAGAGTGGACGGTGCTGCTTCTGTATTTCAATGGGAATATGCAGTTACGCAAGCTCAAGCTCATGTCTATGTTTCTTTTAACAAATCTATGCATCGGCAGCTCATGTGTGAGGATGACAATGCTACGAGATGCGACCCATGCGGGGAAGCATGCCTACATTGTGACAAGCCTGGAAGCTGCCAGCATTGCCAGGACCGCGGCTATTTCACGCGTGGGATCGTTTGTTACAGGTTTGTTCCAGAAAGCCAGAAAGTATTGAAGCACGGCATTTCGGCGATGCATGACATGTAGAAGGCTAGTGTTCGTAAAGCCGTCAGATTAATCCTGTTGGCTTCGAGGCCTGCCAGCGGCATTTCGGCGACAAGAGTAGCAGGTCCACTACTGGCAACATTCCAAACTTTTCTCACGTTGTCAAAACCCAGCCCATGGACGAAGGGTTCCATGTCCAAGTTGCACACCACCATGAGAAAAGGCCCATATATGCAAAATGAGGAGATAGAAGACACAAGCGACACCACGTCCAGATTAAACAGGAACGTCAGGAAAAAGAAGAACAACACACACAAAAGCAACGAATAACAAGGCATGCGCGCTTTTCGCCGCCGCGCAAGGTATAGCATTTGCGTTTGGAAGGACATCGAACACAGAGGAAGGCAGAATCGCTGAAAACACTGGCAGGCGCAATGAATTCGTCATGTTGCAGGAAGCGTGGCTACATCGGCATGCATGGAAAAGTGTGGCAGGCGTGGGTCCAGAGGCATATTGGACAGATTTGTGTTTAAGTGCTACACGTGGTTGAAGACGCAACATCCATATAAAAAAGCAGGAATTCATCGGCCTGCGTGGGGTTTCGTGGCATCGGCCAAAGTGTGGATTTTTAGCAGAATCTGTCTGGCAGACGACAGCGGGTTGCGACAACGTGCAAAAGAGCTTGTAGGCGAAAAGTTGTTTTTTGGGGGAGTTGCGGGTGTGACGTCCTTTTACTTCAGAGTCTGGCTTTCTTTCGGGTTTAAGGTTTAGGGTTGCGGTTGGGGGTTAAAGGGTTTAGGGTTCGCGGCTTAGGTGAAGGGCTCAGCATTTAGGTCTGAAGACTACAATCGTTCGAACATCTCTCCGGGTATATAATATATATATATATATATATAATATACTCTGGAGCATATGTGCAACACAAATTTCACAAGAACGGGAATTTTGAATCCACTAGTAGGATGCAAACCCGTGCTCGTTTTTTTCTTTTACAACCGCACCGCGCAGAAGCACACCCTGTCATAGGGATGTGCAGTGCTGATCCCACCCGCCCACCCCACGCTGTCAAAGTAACAGGCCGACACGGGACATGAACAAAAGGCAGTGGAGCTCCAATGACCTGGCGGAAAAAGTGCCTTCTCAGAAGCAGCACAAATACCGACAAAACCGTGCTTTTCGCCTC